GATGGGGCCCAGGGGCTGCCGTGGGGCTCAGCACCCCCCGGGGAGGCTCAACCCCCCCCCCGCCCCGGTGATGCTCGCCTTCGCGGGGGGCTGCAGCCAGCCCCGTGACCCGATTGCAGGATCGGGCCCTGGAGCATTAACGCTGCGTCGCGGTGGGCTCCGCTCCGCTGGCAGGATCAGGCCCCGATGCATTCGCACCCACTGCACCCCAGCCCTCCGTCCCCACCCAGCCCTGGCCGCGCCAGCGGCTCAACCCTGGGCACGAGGAGGGAATTCATTAGGGGTCAGGATTATTAACGGTGCCCCCTCGCCCCGGCTCCGTGACCTTGGCCGAGTCCCCCGGCCTCCCCGGTCCGGGAGCTGCGGTGCCGTCCCCCGTGTCACCCCGCCATCGGGCGCTGGGGCTCCGCGCGCCTCCGAGCCCCTCGGGGACGAGCAGCGTCTTCCCCCGGTGAGAGCAGGGCCTGGGAGAGGCCGGCAGGGCTGCGGGGCTGGGGGAGCTGGGATCGGGCCCCCCCGGGGGGCAGCGGGGCTGTGCTGGGGGGAGATGCACCCCCAAAGTGGAAGGGGGGCTTCTGCCCACTGCCGGGGGTCTCCGGGGGCCGGCGAGCTCGGCACGCGCCGGCGCGCGGGGACAGCGTGTGCCAGGTCCCGGCGTGGCACATGCACGTGGCGCTTGTGGGGCGGCGAGCGTGGCTTGTGGGGCGCGGGGGGGGGGGGGGCCCCTGCACCCCGCATCCCGCACCCTGCACCCTGCATCCCGCACCCATGCCCGCAGGGACTCCGGGCAGCTGGGTGCCCCTCGGGAAGGCGGCTTTGGGGCCGGGGTGCGCGCCGGGGTGGGGGTGCCTGTCCCGCGAGGACGAGTTTCCTCTTCTGCGTTTCGTGAAAGGAGCAAACCCAACGCTCTCTGCTGGGTGCTTCTGCGGGGTGCAGGGTCCCGGCCACCCTCGGCAGGGCTCGAGCTGTGCTCCGGCCATTGCTGCCCTCTCCGTCGTCCTCGTGCCGCCCCGGGCTCCTCGTCTCCGCGAGCGGGACCACGTTGGGTGCCCCATGGTGCTGGGTGCCCGATGGTGCGGGGTGCCCCATGGTGCCGGGTGCCTGGAGGGCTCGGAGTGCCCGGTCAGTGCCAGGAGCCCCAGGGATGGTGCAGGGTGCGCCGGTGCAGGGTGCCCGGCGTGGCGGAGCACCAGTGAGGGCACGCGGGAGGAGGAGGAGGAGGAGGAGGAGGAGACCGGTGCCAGGGCTGCGCGTGTGTTTAGCTTCGTGGCTTCCTGGCTGGCAGGCTGCTGGTGGCGAGAAATAACTGAGTGGGAGAGTGTTGGCTGCGCCGCGGGGAGACGGGGACGCCGGCACGGCATGGGGCACCCACGCGGTGCGGGGTACGGGCTGGGTGCGGGTTGCGGCCTCCCTCGCAGAGGCAGGGGCTGGCGATGCCACCAGGCTTGAGGCCGGGGTGAGAGGCACTGGGAGGCCTCCCCGGCCGATCAGGGAGCCGCAGCCCCGGCGTCCCGGTGATGCCCTGTGCCGTGCCCCGCAGCTCGACCCCGAAAACACCGGCTTCCTCGGGGGGGGGGCCCT